GTTTAGGGTTTAGGGTTGGGAGTTTCCGAAAACTTCTCTTGGGGTCCTTAGAATAAGGATCCTACGTTTTAAAGGTACTATATTAGGGCCCCCCTATTTTCGGAAACCCCCATATCGACTCTTTTGGGTAACCTAGTTTAGGGCGTTTAGGGTTTCATATTTCTGATTCTGGGTTACCACAAAAGTCTCCAAGAAGCAGCTAACATGTTAAACTTATGCAAGGGTCCCAAGTACAGTATAGGTATAGGGCTTCTAAGAGAAAGGTAGGTTGGGAGTTGGGGTTCTGGTGAGTGCACGCCAGGACAGTACTTCATATACGACCGCGGCGCTTCGTAGATCTGTTTGCAGGGTTCCAAAGTGCTTCTTTTTCACCAGACGCAGGCAAGAAGGGTGTTTTGGGAATGTGCACACGGGCCCTAATTTTAAAGATTGCTTTGAGTCGTGTTGGTCTATTTTGGGTCAGCCAAGGCTTCATTGAACACCTGACACCTCAAACTAAGCCGTTAAGTCTCGAACCCTGAACCCTTCAACACCCTAAACCCTAAACCCTAAACCCTTGAATACGAAACCGAGAAAGGCCCGGCAACCCCCCAGGGACTCCGAGTTTGACGGCATCTGTCGGACCGGACGCCCGCACACGCTGCTCCTCTCCAGCCTGTCCATGCTGATCCGGTGCGCTGTTCTTGGGTTTGGGGTTGGGGTTTTTTGTTTCTGAGTTCTTACCCGAAACCCTAACCCCTAAACCCTAAACCGTTCTTGTCCATGACCGGGGACATACAGTAACTAAACGCCATGGGTTGCCGTGTTGCCGTCTTCTTATGAGCTAAACTGACAAGAGCCTCGGCTTGGGAGCTTCGGTGGTTCACGAGATTTGGGAATCCTTGCTCTTTGGAGGTCCACTGTGGGGCCTGGAAAAAATACGCACAACTTGTATGTGGGGGGGGTTCCTTACCTAGCTATACTCTAGCGCTCCTTCAAGGAGCCGTGTTTAGTTTTTTGGCTCCCATTTTTTGGTGTGTGTTTGTCACATCTGCACTAGGAAAAAGGAGCTGGAGTCTCCAAATCTGCTTTGAATGTAGATCCCAAAGCCCTCGTGACGCGTGCTAAACTCTTTTTTACTCGGTATCTTACGAGTAAGACCTTGAAAGGGGCTTAGGGTTGAGGGTTTGTCTCTTCTGGCTGAACCGTATTGAAGGTTTAACAAGCTGCAGCGAGCATCGGTCAGGCACTCTCAGAGAGTTCTGTTCAATTAAATTCGACTTCCGCTTGCAACACTAAGCCACCCCAAACCCTAAAGCCTAAACTCCTAAATCCAAAACCCTCAACGCCAAACCCCAAACCCGAAACTTCGAAACCCCTAGCCCTAAACGCTAAACGCCATACCTTACACTCTAAACTCCCAAACCCCAAACCCTAAACCCTACACACCCTAAACCGTACAAACCCTAAACCCCAAAACCCTAAACTCCTGAACCCCAAGCCGCAAAAAAAAAAAAAAACACTGCTCTAAAGTCGACCTCTTGGCCCTTTGCGAGGCCTTTGCGCCATCGTGACGACGGCCTGGGCAAGAGCCTCGCGCTCTGGAATCAGATGGAATCCCGGCTGAGGAGGTTTCTTAGGGGTTTTTATACGGACCTAAATGAATACAAGTACTATTTTGGGCGTTCCTTTATTATTGTTGTCATGGTAGGATATAGGTTTCTGCTCAGGAAATCGTAATTGCAGCAGCCGTTGCTGTTCAGACGCTCAGATGCTCATTACACTAAACCCTAAACCCCGAACCCTAAAATGGTCATACTTCTCGTACTGAGTTCCGACCAAAAGACCAAGAAATGACCTGCTCGATCGGCAAAGTAGTACGCGTGAAGCCATTGGGTTTATAACATCAAACGTACCGATTGTGTTGGCGTTTAGGGTTTAGGGTTCTTAGTGGGAGAAATGGTACCAGTCCACATAGATAACAGGAGTGAGCGCATTCAAAGTGAGCCAGGAGCTTGGGAACATGGGCCTGCCTAAGGTTTAGGGTTTCGGGCTTAGGGTTTAGGGTTTAGGGCCCTAAACGCTAAACCCTAAACCGGGTTTAGGGTTGGGAACATGGGCCTGCCCAGGACAACTGCATTAGCCAGCTGCAGAGCATTTCCTGCAATCTGGATCTCATCGCATGGAGCTCAGAGCTTCATCCCTTCATGGCTCTCAGTGTAGTTCTTTTTTGTGGATGCCTTATAAAATCCTCAAAGTGATTGGTTAAACCAAAAAGAGCTCAGAGTTTCATCCCTTCATGGCTTTCGGTGTAGCCATACCTATAGTCTCCATTGTAGTTCCTTTTTGGGGATGCCTTAGAGGTTCATCCCTTCATGGCTCTCGGTGTAGCCATACCTATGTAGTCTCCATTGTAGTTCCTTCTTGGGGATGCCTTGTAAAATCCTTAAGTTTTTTAATTGGTTAAACCGAAAAAAGGAACTACAATGGAGACTATAGGTAGGGTTTAGGATTTGGGATAACTCTTCGGTTCAGTCTTTGGCAAGCATCTGTTGGAGGTTGCGGCCCTCAGCGCTAAGCGACTGTAGACTCTCAG